AAAAAAAAACAAGAAAAAACATACAATCTGAAATATATACATAAATCAATAAAAAACAAAAAAAACACATACAAACTGAAATATATAAATAAATCAATAAAAAAAAACATACAATCTGAAATATATAGATAAATCAATAAAAAACAAAGAAAAACATACAATCTGAAATATATAAATAAATCAATAAAAAGAAATAAAAAAACATACAATCTGAAATATATAAATAAATCAATAAAAATAATAAAAAATAACATACAATCTGAAATATATAAATAAATCAATAAAAACAAAAACGAACATACAATCTGAAATATATAAACAAATCAATAAGAAACAAAAAAAACCCATACAATCTGAAATATATGAATAAATGAAAAACAACAGCTCTGGTAAACCCCATCATGGCCGATTAAGCCTGTGTGTGTTTTACTGGCAGTGATCAGCCGTGTTGAACCCCACAGAGAGAGAAGCCAATAACAAGATTAAACCTGAGAGAATCTAATCTCAAAGTTTATCTTAAGAGCTCTACAGGAATAGCTGCAGATGACATGGTTTCTTTTGATTAAGTGGATACATCCTGACATCCCATAATAACCACAGGTAGCGTTGCTACTATGAAAGGAAGTGGTTTTGTTAGCATTATTATTTTGTTAGCATAGCTTTATCAGGCCCTCCTCTCCTGGATGGAAAGGGTTGATATTAAAACTCTTTGGACCTGAGGATGCGGTGGTTTAAAACTGAGCGGGAGTTGCCATGGAAACGCTGCGTGGTTACCGTGTCTCCATCAGGTGGAGACAGCCGCCCACAGCCGGAGCTAAGCCTGATCACACAGAATAACCAGAATAACCCTCATATTAAAGCAGGAGGAGGGTCCAGGCCTCAGCACACCAGCACAGATAAACCTCCAGAGGTTCACCTCTCATTAGGACATGAGACATAAGATAAACTAGAGTTATTCAGATAAACCTCCAGAGGTTTATCTCTCATTAGGACATGAGACATAAGATAAACTAGAGTTATTCAGATAAACCTCCAGAGGTTTATCTCTCCTTAAGGACATGAGACATAAGATAAACTAGAGTTATTCAGATAAACCTCCAGAGGTTCATCTCTCCTTAAGGACATGAGACATAAGATAAACTAGAGTTATTCAGATAAACCTCCAGAGGTTCACCTCTCATTAGGACATGAGACATGTGATAAACTAGAGTTATTCAGATAAACCTCCAGAGGTTTATCTCTCATTAGGACATGAGACATGAGATAAACTAGAGTTATTCAGATAAACCTCCAGAGGTTCACCTCTCATTAAGGACATGTGATAAACTAGAGTTATTCAGATAAACCTCCAGAGGTTTATCTCTCATTAAGGACATGAGACATAAGATAAACTAGAGTTATTCAGGCATTTTAATGTTAGGATTTGGCTAAAAATACTCACTTTAGCATAGTATGCTATCACATGATCTATGTAGATGACTGATTGTTTTATTTTCTTTTATAACTACATTTTGTGTTAAAGTCTATGGTTGTGTCATTTATTTAATATCAGAATCAGAATAAGGTTTATTGCCAAGTTTTTGACTTACAAGGAATTTGCCTTGGTGTTTGGTGCACAACACAACACTTCTATGAGAAGCAAGAAATAAAATGTAGAAATAAAACAAAAAACTAAAAAGTACAATCTTTAAAAATATAAATCTGAGAACAGAAATATGGATATAAGACTCAAAGATGCAATATTAAATATTAAATTACAAATATCAAAAGTATGTACAGTATACAGGTGTGAATGTACAAATGAACAACTGAAATGTGCAATGTTGAATGTGTTATATATATTATTTGTATCAAGTTTAATATGATCTTGCTTTTATTTGTTGGGTTTTGTGTTTGTACTTCTACTATGTTCCCCCCTCCCCCCCACCCCCCTATCTGAGCAGACTTGGTTCAGTCTGGAGGTCAGTTTGTGTTTGGTGGCTGTCCAGTTGACCTCAGTTCAGCTATTTATTATCTGAGTTATGTTGTAGTGAAGTTTGACCTTTTGTTGACCATTTTTGATATTATTAAATTGGATTTTTTCCTCACTTTTGGAACCCCTTTGTCAGGTCTGGTCCCTCACAGAGACTAAAACATACTCAGCAAAGGAGGAGTTGTTTGTGTTTAGCTAAAGAAAAAGAGGCATTTGAACTAGTTGAAGTTTTTGATGATCTGCATTTGGATTTCCACTAGATGGAGACAAAAGCCCACAGAAGGGCAAATGATTTCTGTTGTTGCCCTTTTAGACTAAAATGCTCAAATCTCATAAAAGCCTTCTTCCACAGCCTGTGCTGTTTATTTAGTATGTTCCCTTATTTTCCTCTTTTTTCCCTCCCTAAGAGTCAAAAGGGAAACGAGTGGGCATAATTTTCTTTAAAGTAAGCGTACGGTATGTTAAAAAGCCAAATATATCCTTCATTAACTCACTTTTTAGTTAGAATCAGTTTTGACAGAAAGTTAAATGGGTTCATCTTATTTTATTATCTTTTAGAATTTGAACCTCCAGCTATTTTAGATAAATGGCTCAGGAGGAATGTTCATATCGCTTAGAACCAATTCAGTAAATGCATTTTCTTCTTGAATGCAAAGCAAATACTATTTGATGCTTTTTAACTCTACATATTACCAAAAAGGTTTCCAGACTTATAGTAACTGAAAATTAAAGTATCAATTTCAGATGTGTTCAAAACACAGAAAAGTTTCTCACATTACATTTGACCCATTAAGCTAAAAGCAACCAAGAGTTCATAGTTTAAAATAAGCAGATGTGTAAATACCTTCTCCCAAAATGACAAAACTCTTTCTTTCTTGTCTCTTTTAATTGGAATAAATGACTAACTATAATGAATAACTCAGGTTACACAGATCTGATGACTCACTAAAAACCTTTAGACAAATGAGGAAAAGAGGAAAACTCTTTTGTCCAACAATGTTAAATAGATGCATGATGGTTTGTGTGAATATATTTTT